AAGGAAGTGGAAAGAGTACCTTTACACAGAGGGGGTTGCAGCCAATGTTAGAAACAACCAAAAATGTACCGAATGGTGAACGGCAAACTCACGTGCTCTGTAAACTTTCACCCAAGCCACAATGAATAAAATAAAAGGTTCCATCAGGTGTTACTTTCCCTCTCGCGCTTTCATTTGATGGTCTGAATTTTGAGGAAGAGAAACTTACCAATATCGCTGGCAAATTCGTACACATGAGGTTTCTGCAGCAGACCTAGCTGGCACATGCACGTAAGGGCATTGAGTGCCTTAACAATAACAAATTCTTCCGCATCGCTAAGTCCTTGTTGCAGCAGGGGCTTGAGGATTGAGGAACTCTGCCAGCCAACATAGGCAGCAACACCTGAGAGAGAGAAATAACACTGCATGATTTTTCGAAACCTGAAAGACAAATGTACCATGAAACTTCTTTTTTAATTACTCAAAAAGCCAACCAACTGCGCAATGATCAAGAGAGGGCATCAAGTGCCCTGCCAAGCACAAAAACTGGCCCACACCAAGGCAAATCCTCAAAATAGTTCAGATACTGTGTGTGTGTAGGTGTATGTGTGTCGGGGTGGGGGTGGGGGGAGGGATTGTTGATCTTAAGAATCTATAATAGAAAAAAAAAAGAATCTATAATAGAAAAATATAGGTCTCCTAAAGAGGGAATAAGGAGTCCTGGTGACACTTGAGTGAAGCAGTGGACGGCTAACCCAAAGGTCAGTGGTTCAAATCTACCAGCCACTCCATGAGAGATTCAGCTGCCTGCTCCCAGAAAGATTCACCACCTCTGAAATCCTGCATGAGGTGCAATGAGTCAGAATGGACATGACTACAGAGGGATGGGGTGTAGAAAGAAGCCCCAGGGGGTGCAGTGGCTGAAGCACCAGATGCCAACTAACAGAGAGGTCAGCCGTTTGATCCCACCAGCCTCTGTATGAAAGCTGTGAGTCTGCTTCCAGGAAGATCCCAGTCTCAGAAACCATGGAGCAGCTCTACCCTCTTCTACCGGGTTGCTAAAACTCGAAACAGACTCCGCAACAATGGGTCTGACTTTGTTTTTAAGAGGAAAGAGAATCACATGGTCTCCAGCATCAATGGAGATGACATACAACAAAGCAAGACCTTCACAGCTCTGAGTAAAATTCTATACCCAAACTGTCAATTAAATATGAGAACAAAGGAGGTCATGTTAAGGCATTTTAAGGGCAATAGGGGTTTCTTGCAGTTTGTGGAAACATTCCAGAAAAATAAGAAAAAGGTGCAAAATGTATAATACGATCGTTCTACCCCAGGATAGAAAAATAAGAAAATAGCTAGTAAAGACCTACAAACCAATCCATCCAAATCAGAACTGGAGACCAATCAATTTCTGGAATGTTATAAAGAACAAAAGAAATACGGTGAAGAAGGCATATAGATTTATCTAAGAGAAAAACAAAAGAATCTCAAACAAGAAGGTCTTCAAAAGGGGCTATGTGCTTAGTAACTGGAACAGGAAAGCAAGGAGAATCCACTCGGCTGCAGGCCGTGCACACTGTTCTCCATCTGCAGAGGGGCTGTAGCACTGGAGAATGAGGAAGGAAGTGCATTTAGAGTGGACTACTGGGCTCTACACTCAATCTACACAAACCGCGGAAGGTTTCCTTATGATTGAGAACATGATATAAATGTTATCAACTGTGACAATGAAAGTGCTCGCTGGATTTTCAACTTAACAATTAGTTGAATTTTCAAGTACCCGAATGCAGGAGAGAGATTAGAGGTAAAGAAAGAGGCATTAGTTTCCTTGTGGTGCCTAATGGAAGTAGATCAATAAGAAACTGATTCAAGCTATTTAAAATTATAAAAATA